AAATGTAGTAATCTTTACCAGAGTTTACTTTACATGACCTGAAATCTTCTTTAAAATATAATTAAATATTGCAGAGTTGATATTCGTCCCATTTTTGTCATTAGATCACAAATAAAAAGGCTAGCAAAGTAACCACATAAAACTCCTTTTAGTCATTTTTAAAACTCTGTCAAGCAGTTTTCTTATTAACATCTTTTTTTAAGATTATCATCTGACAAACCTTCTAGTTACATAAATCAAAAATATAATCAGTGGCGATGCCATTAAATGTAAGATGAACTGTCAGAAATCAAGGTAAACGTGGATAAATAGATTAAATAATAGTTCTGAGCTGCATGTTCACTTTTATCTTTCTAAGTGTGATGTTTTCATAAGCACTTAGTGCATGTGCCACTGAGAACTGGATTCGTTTGTTTATGCTTCACAATTAGAAAAATGTTGCCATGTTTTGTCTTTGTGCCATTATAGCTGACATACCATTCCTGGTCGGGGATAGGGTACTTTTCCCTGGAAGGGGACCCACTGGTAGTTGGGCCCCTCTTTGTGAGCAAAAGGCCCCAGGAAGGCCCTCCGGATGTCATTCATGGAGTAAAGACACACTGCTGAGCCTTTAAAGACACTGCTGCTGGGAAACAACGGGAGCAGGGTTAGCTACAACAAACACACACAGAACATGCATGTGTGCATAAACAAACACGTATGATTCGAACAGACGGACCTGGAAGTAGAGAAGACCGTGTACACCAGAGGGTTCTTTCTGTCCCGGGTCTGCAGCAGGAACACATCGCCTGAGGACGGACACACACAGACATTTGAGTCAGGTGGCGGTAATCCAGAGGTCAAAGGTTAGGAAAAAGACAAACACAACCCTATGGACATGTCTAACCACTTTAATAAACTGCTTTACTGCTTACTGAAGGTCGTGACATAGAAAAATATCCTCTGTGGCTTATTAATACAATGGTTAGCAACTGTTGTTCTGTTCTGGTCTGGGTATTTTTAATTTTTTTACCTTAAAAACGTTCATCTATTTTTGACTTTCAAAACAAAATGAAAGGTTTATAAGTAGTCAAACACAAAAGCAAAAAGATTAGTTACACCTGCATTTTTACTGCAGGTTCTTCTCTTCTTGGCCTCAGGTGCCGTCAAAAACTCACCGCGGAGACTCGTGAAAAAAATGAGACTGACAGACGTAGCCTGAGGTGGGGTCAAAGTTTGAACCGAGTCTTCTACTTAGTTACTCTTTCTTCCCGTCATGAGATGAGTACAAAGGCAGATTATATTAGTGCCCTCAAAACAGAACAGACAGATTTACCAAAAACATCTTTACTGAGTAAACTCCTGCAGCTGCTGGTTAAACCTCATGACTGAAGGTTGGAGAAGGGTTGCGTAATGAGATGTTCTGTTATCTTTAATAATTCAATAAGGAGAAAAAAAAGCCTTTTTTCAGACAGAGTTAAACAATAAAGCTTTTTTTATTTGAAATAAAAAAAACCTCATTAGACTTTCATTGAGTTACATAAATTTTGTTTGTAGCTGACTATTTCTGTGTAAAAACATCAGTGAGAAGAGAAGAGAAATAAGCTCAAAGTTCAACTCCTTGTTTGTCTTTTTATATAAATTTGAACAATTTGCATCTAAATCGTATTGAAGAATATTCTGGAACCCTTTTGCAGCAGGAAAAATAAATGTTAGCACAATTATCATTGCGGTACATCAGGTGGTATATCCAAAAGTAGCTGAGTTTTCTAGTCTAACCTGCGCCTCACATGAATGCTGTATCATGCTTTCATTTCATTGCACAGCAATAATCTTTGATTAGCAGTTTAAATACTGCACAGATGGGGTAAACTTACGTAGCTCATCAAAGTATGTATCGCTGCCATCCGCTCCTGGTACCGAGCAAATTAGTCGAGTTTTGAGAAATGTGGTCCACTTGTTCACCAGACTTCGCTGACCTCCCATATCATTCTGACAACACCAAAATAATATTTAACAAAACATTAATTGTCAGTTTGTGTTTGACTGAAAAAAAGATTATCATCTGGAGTTGATTTCACCACATTTATAAGCCATATTCTTCAGAGTATGACCTGATTTTAAACTGATTTTTAATTCTAACTACTAGACATAACTGGGCCAAGTAATGTCTCACCCTGCACAACTGTCCAATCCGGGAGTATGTGGACTTTCCCAGACCCTGAGCCTCGACCGCGGTTTCCCGGAAGAAGAAGAAGACCTTGTCGTCATCAGGATTTTCACTCTCAGGGACCCAAAAGGAGCCAACAAACTTTGGTTCTGGTTGGTTGAGTAAAATCAAACAAACAAAATATAAAACGGTATTTTATTTCAATGAGAGGCTTCTTCGTTTTAACTGAACTGGACTGAATGAGTTAATGTAAAAGGTCAAACTCACCGTTGAGCCAACGTGAGTCATGTTGTTCAGTACGAATCGAAGGACGTTTCCCCAGACTCCTGAAGATAGTGAAGTCCCGTCCCATTAAATCTGTGGCAACACCTGCGTATAGTTCATCACCTAGGAGACAAAGATTTTAACACCAAGTCCAATTATACATAAAAGTCTCTTAAAAGCATATCTACAACAGCATCCTTTATCCCAAAATAACAGACATAAACTGAGAATAAGGGAATGATTGTTGGCAGGTATCGTTACCGATGAGCACAGACGCAGCATTATGCCGAGGATCATATGGACTCTTTCCTTTCCCATCCTCCACTTTAGAGGGGTCGATCCTGAACACGTGGTCCTGATGTTGAGCAAGAGCACAACAGCAGCATTTTGTTATGCTACAGTGAGACTGAGTGATACTGCATATACTGTATCAACATTATTAAAAATAAAGGTTGTATTTTTATTCCTTCCCCCTGGTAACATGAGCTAAATGTTTTCATACTGTATGTAATGTGTGTGTGTGTGTGTGTGTGTTTTGTGTGTGATTACATTAAGCTGTACCTGAATAAAGTGCGATTTTGTGATGTTTTTGTTTCACACATTCCTCACCTCCATTTTGTTGCCCACCTCCACAAAGGCACAAGTAGGATGAAAGGCCCCAGTTCCACAGGCGTATAGGTGGGTGCGGTTATAGTGGTGCACAATCTTCACATAGTTCACACAGTCCGACTGAAACACACACACACACAAACACACAAACGATGTCATTATTATTATTATAGGTGGGAACCGATCTTTCTCTTCTGTGCCAACGTGTTCGATGCTAATCCTTTATCAGAGAACTATGAAGCACATATTTACTGACTTCCTGTGAACTGTACCATGTTAAACGTGGATTTTCTGTCCCTTGGTTTAGTGACGTACATTCCTCACACAGCTCTTCACTCTCTTTGGCTGTGACAACACAGTGCAGTCTTTGGATCCATGTCCAGCTCTCTGTTTTGACACTCTTTGTGTCCTGGCTGAACACACGCATTCCTTCAGCATTTTTCAAAGGAGCGTAGATGACGAACGGTACAATAGTTGCTTCAGTTTCCATGCTTTAAACTGCACTAAGTGCTTCATGGTTGCCTGAGATTACTTGGTTTGCATGTTTTGAGCTATCTTTACAAGCAAAGCGATGGAAACAAAGCAATCGTTTGCAACAATCTCTGTTTCCAAATCTCATTATTTTGTCCTTCTCGTTTGTCTTCTTACATACAGACAGTTTTCAGTCCTGACCTCTTCCTACTTTTTCCTTGTCCTACCAAGACAGCATGTTATTGATCTACAGACACATCTGTCTATCTCAGAGTCAGGTTACAGTAAGCCTGGTCTCAAGGGACTGCTGAGAAAAGACCTAATGTATGCTAAGCGATTCAATGGTACATTATCTGTGCAATCTTAGAACACCAGGCTCTGAGGACACTGGTCCATTAAGTAATGACAATGTGGACACAATAATTGGTATAATTATCATCATTATTATTAACAGTATGTCTCTCCAGGGCTTTTTGCTACATGAGATTCATTGGGATTGTCTGTGAAAAGAAAAGGCAGAATATGATGCCAGTGGAGTGAAAGTTGAAATTTAAGCTCTTCCTTGAGTACACTCTTTTGGGTTGAAACAGTTACAGTTAAATGTACCCTTAGTTTGCAGAAATCCAATGCTCTCACATTGTATGAAGGTGGATGGGTTTCAGTTTTTACAGTTTTTGCATACTTGAATTATTTGATTTAGAAACTGGTGTATTTATGTTTAATGGACAAAAATACCCTTTTGGTAATGGTTACATGTTGAATTCTTCAATCTTGTATTCAGATGTCATAGATCACTGGGATTAATGCACAGAAATATTTATGCACACACAAAAAACACACAAGTGTACGTAAAATCTAATTAATCTCTTCAATACAATCTCAAAGGTGTAGTTGCACATAGACTGCATGTGTTTCATGCTGATATGGAGGTGTCCTAACACCAAGAGACAGAAAGGTTCATAAAAACAGGAGACAATACAGTTCTTGTTTCCATATCTTTTTAATATTTAAAACTAATTTAAATATTGTGCTGCACACTCAAACACTATCCTCTCTGAAATCTTAATGTATAGTTTTCGTCAACCTTTTTCATTCTCAGGATTCTGTATGTGTCTGTGGGTCAGGGAGTGAGACAGTCAGGAAAGCTCTTTGATGTGACAAAAAAAAAAAAGAAAAAGAAAGGCGATGTGGTGGTTTAAAGATTCCTGAAAGGTACTAAAAATGTCTGAAAGCAAAGAGGAGAACAGGAAAGGTGATCGATGTCAGCAATCAGTTTCTGTGTGTGAGCATAGTGATGAAGATGTGTAGTTCAGTTGNTCACTGATCAACCTCTGACCTTCCACTGACTCATTAGTTGAAACAGTGTGTAAAAGTCAAGCTGTGACCTCAGCTTTCAGCTCTGGTCCCTGTGTCTTCTGAGGCTTATTGTTCGTTTGTGAATGTCTCTTTTTCTCCTTTAACCTTTTGTCTTTTCTAGAGATGATTAACCTGATTGATCAATTTGTTATTCTGTCACCGTCCCATCTGTCTGACATGAACACAAGGTGCTAAAATACACTTCAGTCGATATTACAGTAATCCTTTCTGTAATTCCTTAAAGCAAATTCAACGTTTATTTCAATTTTATACAAATTTTCCCCTCGATCCTTTCTTAAAAACGTATTTAAGTTTTAATGTTGTGATTTAAAAGGAAAGAAAAGTTGAGTTTCTTATTTCTTCTATTTAAACTGTAATCCAGCAATAAATAAATCAAATAATAGCTAAGAGTCTTTGCCTGAACTGAAATGGTGGTGCACAGATGATATCTATTAGATACAAAAGACAAAATGTAATAATGAAGGAATGTCTTTGATCACTTCTGCTAATAATGTAAGTTTGGATTTATTGTAGGAACATCTGCAAACTGCAATAAAATAGATTTTACTTTTTATGTTTGTTCCTCAGTGCTTCAACCAAATGATACAAGATCATAAGTTTGATGTCAGCTGAGCTGTTGCATCCAGTGCTTCAGACTTCAAAGGTCTTCAGATTTAATTTCTTCTACATAAAACACACTCTGCTGGGATTACATCGAGGCATTTAAGTAAGTACTTTATTTCTATAGAAAGATTCACTTATCACTGGCCTTACACAAGCATTATCATTACGTAAATGTAAAGCCAGCTATATTTATTAGATCTGGTATCTTTAATTTATGATCACGTTCCCCATTTGTTCTTTTGTTTGTAGTTTTATTTATAATGATTCTATTTATATTCTCCTCTGTGAACCCAGAATACCCACAAATGTAAAGTCTTCAGTGTTTGGGGGAATAAATGGTAGGCAACACCAAACTTATTTTTCTTATTTTTCAGAAACTTGACAATATTCTTGTTGTTTTTGTGCAGAAAACAGTATTTACACCTCTGTGCTTGAGAGCACAGCTCCATGGAGATGTTGGTCTGTTTATAAACTGTTGTTTTGGGTTTGGATTATAATGTGCATAATTCTAAGAAACTAAACACTTTGAGTATGAGTCAGAACCAAACTTCAGTAAATCCGTACGCCCATCCTTGACGCCACTAAAGTCCATTTACTCAAACCAGTATTAGCTCATTTACTTACCTTTTTTGTAAAAGCAAAAAGTCCTTATTGGCTTATTGTCTTTTCTGCAGCTCTTTGATTTATTACGTGTTTTCTGCTGAATAAATTAGCATCACTGCAACCTTATCATCATTATTATTCTTACTATTTTGCTGAAGGTGAGTTTTGCAAGATGTACTGAGAATTAAATTCAATTTATCAGATCTCAAAAAGTGACACAGTGAGTGTCTAAAAGGGACAACAGACACATAATCAGCCTCCTCGATGGATTTAAATACAGCTCCAGTGTGACACTGAGTCAGACTGGGTGTCTGTGAAGTGTCAACTGTTTACTGCTGTCTGTCTGTCTGTCTGTGTTTATATGCAAATGTCTCTGTTTGTGCCTGTGTATGCTGAGCAATCATCTGTCTTCCTGTGGGCTACTTATCCTGTTAATTTCCTGCCCTTTGTCTATTTCTTTCAATACAGTCACTCCTTCAACCATCAGCGTCCATAACACACAAACACTAAAGGGTTGAATGACACTTGTGTGTTTCAGACTAAAAATCTGTCAAAACAGAGGATATCACTGTGTTCCCACCTAAGAATTAAAACATGTAAAGAGGAAAATTGTATAAAAGAAAAAGCAAAAATGCAAATGTAGAAGAGAAAATCTTTATCCAGGACACATACGTACAAAGAAGACAAAAGAAAAAAAATGGAAAGGAATGTTAGTGAGAAAAGATCCACAAAGTTTTGTAGAAAAAACATACTTTGGTGTAATTAGGGTAAAAAATGTAATGTCAGCTCAGTTTTGTGTGGTTTCACTTTTACCAAGAAAGTAAAAAGAAGAAGAAGGAAATGAGAAAAGAAAGGAAAGGAAAGGAAAGGAAAGGAAAGGAAAGGAAAGGAAAGGAAAGGAAAGGAAAGGAAAGGAAAGAAAAGGAAAGGAAAGGAAAGGAAAGGGAAAAAAACAGTATAATACAAAAAGCTCACAATTTTTTGCAACATGTTTAAAATCAGTTTCTTTCCTTTTTTTCTTCTTAGAAACAGATTAACAAATTAAATTCACTCACTAGCGTTACTTTCTTTTTCAACACACAAGGAAACCTGAACACAGACATACAATCTCATGGCCAATTGAAATTGGAAGCCTGGATTTTTGTGTGAATGGAGCTCGTTGTCTGTCGGCTACAGCTGTGTAATCACACTAATGACAGGTTTGCTTTACACACACATACACAAAAACACACACATTGTTTTTTTTAATATGCACGAAACATGAATAAATGTAAACACAGACTGTGAAATACATGAGTGTGAAAAAAGTATATGTAGAGAAATGTGTGGCATGTCTCCACATGCTCATGGGATATTTCACAAATGTATGTACACACTCACACACTGCATGTGATGTGGTCCTGGGTGGTCTATAGGCGTTTAGTAGCAGCCATAGGTCGGTCAGTGAAAAAATCTGCATTTATATTTTAAGTTAGCGGAAAGTAAAAGTGCTGCTTTAGAGCAAAGTAGAAAATGTTTAAATATAAGTTGGTCAAAGGAACGGTCACGGGGAACAAAAGGTTAGCCTGTGTTTAGACAAACTGCACTGCAGTGGGTCACAGCTTCAGTTTTTCCACATGCAGTTAAAATCTGAATCAAATTAAAGTTTACGTCTAACATTTATAAAAAAATAATAAAAAAAAAAATGTTTTGACCAAATCACTGCCCTTTTCAAAAACTCAGATTCTTAGCTAAGGAAGTCAAATGTCTCAGTTTGCGTTGTGTTTTGTAAATCTCAGTCACATGAGGTTTAAAATAACTCAATTCAGAGAAAATGATCTCATCACATGGCAGGTCCAGAAGTGAGAGTGCTGCTGCACCTATTACATGTTATCAGTTTTCATGTGGCGATTGAATCTCGTGATAGCTCCTGTGACTCGGGTGGATTAAAAGGTAGTATTGTGTTGATCTGGGTAGGAGTGGACACCTCCAAAGCCCTCTTATTTCCCCATAATTTATGCAATGGATGATGTGATATCTTTATGTTCTGTTTGTGCCATATTGTTCAACCTGTTCAGTTTTCTCTATTTTCTATGATGAAGGCCTGGACTTGCCAACTACAATTTCAATCATTGGCAGTACGACGGCTCAGTGGTTAGCACCGATGCCTCACAACAAGAAGGTCCTGGGATCTTTCTGTGTGGAGTTTGCATGTTGTCTTCGTGCTTGCGTGGGTTTTCTCTGTGTACTCTGGTGTCCTCAGGCCCAGGCTGCCCTCGCAAAAGAGATCTGCAATTTCAATGGGATTTGCCTGGTTTAAAAATGATAAAATAAAACAAAAATAAATGGTCTTCACTCTCCTCTGGCTCTGGGTCAGACTCTGGCTCCAACACGTAAGGCTGGATGGACAAGTCTTCTCTTGTTGACATCTCTTAACTAATTTGTAAATAAAAAGTTTTTGCATTGCTATATAGTTGTAATCTCCTCTATCAAAGTGCAAGCTGGAGGGGGGCGGCGGGATGTGAAGCATCTCATTTGGATTTAAAAAAGACAGCCTCAAAATGAGTTGATCTGAGGAACACCTCAGGAAAAGTGGTGAAAGAGGGGCTTGTGGAGGAATTCCGGCCAAAGCATCACAGTTCCACTTTATAATGACCCAAACTGAATTATTTAAATCTACAAAAGAAGGACTGAAAAGCATGATATATCCCTTAAAGCTTTTTGGGGAGTTTTTGTCTAATTTATTCAGAGATCTTCTAAACTTTTTCAACAATTTCTTGCCTTTAGGTAAAGTAAATGAATGCAAAGAGACTTACAGTGATGTCCTTGCCAGCCCAGTTACACTCCTCTCTCCAGTCGACGGGGGCGGGCCAGTAGATCTGAAAAAGTCAGACAAAAACATCACGTTTTTAAACCCCTTAAATAGTGTGATTATCATGCTGTTTGACCAAGTACATATTTTAGGACAGTTGTTTAAATAACAGAAAAGAAAAGCTTTTCATTTAGTCTCCCTTGATTTGGTGTCTCGCTGGCCTCTTGTCCACTTCCACCTTTCCCACCTGCTTCCTTGTGTACATTTCTGATGGCTTTATCCCACCCACACTCAACCACATCGCATAAACGACTCCAACCATAGTGAACCTGCTCACCCGGTCATAAATCAAACTGACCCATATATGTACCTAAAGCCAACAAAAGTTTCAAATCCTGCACACCTAACATGTAATTTACTCCAAACAGCTGTGGACAGCTGTTTCCAGTGGTCTATATTTTGCATGTAAAACTATAGTTTTGTGTGTGACACTACACTCTCAGTGTTTGGAGTCCACACTTATATAGCCCTTTTGAGAACCTCCTCGAGTTTTTATAATGTTAAAAAACATACTGAGCACAAAAGAATTTCAGTCTCTTCCTGCTTCATCCTTTAAAACTGAAAGCTGAGGGCTTTAAAGTTAACGGCTCAGAAAATCGCTGTTAATTAGCTAATAACCCGTAGCCTCGAATATTTCACAGATTAACAGCTTTACCTTGTGTTCTTGCTTAGCGATGTTGTCCAGTGAGAGTGACAGCAAGAAGTTCTTGGCCCCCACAAAGAGTCGGCCCCTCTCTTCATCCAGCAGCATGGCGCTGAAGCAGCAGGAACGCTCCAGGTCGAAACGCCGGACTCCATGAAACTGCTGTAGTTCTGAGGAGCAACAAAAGAAGCTCTTAAGTGTGTTGAAAACCCAACCCTGCATTCTTAACACCTAATATTTTTACAATAACAGGCAAATCATGTGACTTTACAGTTTAAGTAATATTTTATTATTTTCCCCTTTAGTTGCACTTTAATACAAAATATTTCTACTGATATAAAAAATATTAGGATGTCATTTTATATAACATGCACTTGATTTTGTTTCACATTTTATTTCCAGGAAGCCACACCTTTTTGTATTAAAATTTTACCCACATAAAAACAAGAATGCGGTGACAAAAACCCAAGTTTTTTGGACAAAAAAATCTCTGAATTTTGGTTTAAAAATGATTTTTTTTAAATTAGGCAAAACTTAAATATCTAACACAACTTACATATCTGTAAACGTAATATATCTCTGTGTGCCAGTGCATGTACGTTAAAGGAAACTCAAAAAGTTGAAGACAAAAAAAATGCCTCTGATATTGTTACTTTAAGGCCAGAAAAAGTCAGCTAAATTAAGATATTAGAAATAATGTCTCATCTTTAAAAATAAACACCTTTAAATGAAGGGAGGATCAAGAGTTGTTTGTGACATTATTAATAAACTTAAAGTCTCCTCACTGTAATAAAGAACAATGACTTGAAAGACTTTAAGCAAAACTCTCAATACCGAAAACTTTTATTCTTCTTTTATACCATACTGCTCTTCAGATCTAAATCTGGTTGCCACAGGGCTGCAATAAGTCATGTGGTTGATAAAGAAGATTATAACATAATTTGAGTTTATTTAAATAACAGTTAAAAAGTGAGTCCTCAGGACATAATCCTCTGACAGAACTGGTCTCAATGGAAAATATGAGCATCCTCGCCATTACCAAACTGGCAAAAACAAATTGTAGAGGAACAGTACTCAGGAAAATCGAGCTTCTCTTTGTAAATCTAAGCTACAATAGTCGAACCAAGCCATTGGAAAGAAAAAGGGCTTTTGGGCCGGAGAAGTCATAAAGTAATCTTCCTTCTCTGGTGTCATAGTTTAAACAGGAGTTTAAGAACACATGACTGAAGCCCTTTTCACTTTTAAAGCACTTTATTAGTCTGTTATTGTTCAAACTCTGACACCACATAATAGCTGGCTGCATGTCAGCAGGGACTTCATTACTCAGTCTCACTGTACTGTGCATCAAATAAACTTGGAACTAATGAAAACAGATATTAAATTATAAATGGCAGATGTTTCAATCTAATAAAAAACAAGTAATCACAAGGGTAAGTAAGAATACAGGTTTTTTTGTTGTTGTTATAGCCTACTTGCTGTTCATTTACAATCAACACGTACACGGGAAGAAATCTGAAAAATGTCAAACATTGAAAAATATTTTGATTCTTCATTAATAAGTATATTTCTAATTTCCAGTGAAAGATTAGATTAGGCTTCTTGTCAGTAAATCTATGATATTATTAAGAAATCTGAAAAAAATCATAAATAATTACAGCATGTTTTACACCGGATATCCTTGCGGAGGCATCTTGAGGTCAAAGCTGCAGCATTAGAAAGATACTAAGAAAAACAAAAAAAAAGCTTCCTATAATACAGTGGTTGTTTGTAGCATTTGTCGTGCTTGTCTCCACGTGGCCATGTGATCGACTTGCCCAGGGTGTACCCTGGTTTCTGCACAGGGACTGCAGGAGATAGGTCACTGTGACTAGAGAAGGAGTTGCAGGTTTCTTAATGCAAGTTAGAGCTTTCTTTTTGTCTGTAATCTAAACTGAGAGACATGTGAACAGGACAGACTATCAAAGCTCAAATTTTCATTGATGTTGTTGTTGTGGACCTGAGGTTTACAACAAAGGAAGCGTTTATGACCGTTGCTGCCACAAAAGATGGAACAATGTTGTTTTTGCTCCAAAATGGAGGAGTGACATTATTACTACTGTCACTCTATGACTTTGCAATTAGCTGAGTGTGCAGCTTTGTGAATGTGTGAAAATACCTGACACACATGGCTTGCTGATACTTCATTATACACTTGTAGGATCTATAGAGAGGTGGATGTATCAAATCCAAACATTGATACTTGTGATACCAAGATGATCGATACTAGCGTGATGAGATTAGTTCTTTTGTTTGCACTTTATTTGCACGACAGACTTTTTTTCACAAATAAAGTGAAAAATAAAGTCAGTAGTACAGAGTCTTCATATTGTTTAGTCAGTCATTAGTCCTCTATGTCAGTGGTTCCCAAACTTTATATCTTCTGACCCACAAAATATTCATGGCAAAAACTTGTGACCCCAAATATTACTGATCTGAGTACACATACTTTGTTAATAACCCTAAAAACAAAGGCTACACGAATATAAACATTACTTATTTATACTTATTTTGTGGTTTTGTAATAATTATAGGGAAAATATTACATCACCAATTATTTTATTACCCTTTAAATTGATTTCTGAAGTGCAGTGGTTCCCAAACGTTTCAGCTTTTGACCCACAAACTAACAGTAGCAGAGACCTGTGCCCACAACTAATTTTGGATGATAAATATTTGTATCAGGTCAACTAAACATGGGCATAGTAAAAAAATGTATTATTCTACATTTATACATTTTAGGTAACAACTAATGCAAAAAATGTAATTAATTTAGAAAATCTTTTCAGGACCCCACTTTGGGTCCCGACCCCAACTTTGGGAACCACTACTCTATGTCATGCCCGTGTGCAATGGAAGGTAGTTTCTGCAGTGTTGTTGACATTGTAATGTTCTAACGTTATCCAAGGGAGGACCCTCGCCAACAAGACAGCCCCCACCCCAAGAATTTCCCAGCATGTAGTCATTTTAATTTAAATAACACCAGACCAAGACGACAGCTATTCCTGCGGTTGTTCCTCCCCATCCACCTCTTATGACACAACAAACTTGGAAGAAAAAAAGAACAAAAATGTGTGAAAGAACAAAGTTGAGGTGGTGGTTATTTTCATCATTCAAAATAATTGGCAGTGAGAGCTTGGGTCAACTTCCTTATTTTGAGAGTTTAATCATTGCTTAATTTTGGTCTTTTATAATGTCACATATTTCCATCTGAGCAGATTYGCTGAGTTGCAGTAATCGGGGAGGAAGATGAACTCTGAACTGATGCTCGACATTTGAAGCATCCATCTGTTGACAGCAGAAGCTGTCCCTGATTTAATCTGTATCAAATAATGTTTGTCATGAGATCTGCATTTCCCCCCCTCCCTTAGGCAGTCTCATGACCCAATGTAATCAGGGGCGTGGAAAGCTAAATAAAAGAGGCTGAACTACAGGAAGTCCCTCAGAATGGTGGATTTGGGTGTACGAGWGACTTCCTGTCCAGCGTTCTCCTCACTTTGATTCTAAGCCATGGTTTGATTGTCTCATTTGCTCCCCTGTTTTTGTATGTATTTAGGAAAATACCGAACAATGTGGTTCATATTTTGATGCTGGAGATGCATTGTTGCATCTTTTTTGTTATTTTGCACTAGTGGCTTTTTTCTTAAAAAAATGCCGTAAACGGTAATAGTTTTATAATAATAATAGTCATTTAATTTTATTATTTTTATACTTTTACAATGTTTTGTTGTAGTTTTTTAATACAAAACAAGTTTTATTTGCCTAAAATCTTTGTCCTGTGTTTTGTCATAATTGACTAACTGAAGTCTAAATCACAAAATGATTCAATGAACATGACAAGTACTGACATTAGAATCTGTGATACTAGCCCTGTATTTACCTGGTATTGGATTGATACTAAAACTCAATCGCCCAGCCCTAATAGAGAGGAGAACAAGTGTTTGCCACGTACCACCAACCCCACCCTTCTTTAATCATTTCTGCCGCCCCACACCACTGCCCTCTCTGCTACATGTTACCCTCAGCTGAAATTAAAGGGAGCACATATTTCTGCCTGGCAGACAGCCTTCGGTGAGCCTCTTGTCCTTGGTGAATGAGCTCAGGCTGTAATTGCCGTCTTTCAGTGATGGAACGCTTCCCTGGTTTATGCGGTGGTGCTGGGCATTGAGCTGTTTTCGAACATAAAAAACCCTGAGATGAATCACAAAACTGTCCCACTTTGTGATTAATCTGTGCGTTTGTGTCAACGTTTGGGTGCACTGATCGCTATGATTGTTAGCAGAAGCCAAAAACAGCTCACACAAACTGTCCTAGGCAGAAATGTTGCAACATTTGAACTTTTCTTACCTTTGTATGAAAGCTTCATGCGTGGTGACGAGGAGGAGGAGGAGGAGGAGGAGGATGAAGAGGAAGTACGGGTCACAGTGCTGGAGGAGGAATGGGCAGCAGCCATTCCGAGCAGCAACAGAGAGCTGCAGGTGACCATCATCATCATCATCATGGTCATCATTTTGGCACCAGTTTGTAGTTTTGAGACTTTGGGTGTCCAACAGCAGGGTTAAGTCCCAGTTCTTTGTCACACTTATACAAAACTGATGTTTTTATTTGGATAGAAGCAGTCCTCCTGGATTTTAGGAGATTTGGAAAAAGCTTTGCATCTTTCCCAGCCTTCCTTTGTAATTCTTGGTCAGAGTAAAAAAAAAAAGCTCTATTTTCTGTTGGAGAGTTTTCTCAATCCATCCACTGGTCCTCTCGTGAAGGACGTCACAGTTCACCTCTCACATCCACGGCAGGACACAAACATTCCACATGGGCAGAGAAGCCTAAAAATAGAGACCAAGAGGGAGAAGATTCAGTAATGTGCGCTGCTTGTGCCAGGGATGCCCTCACACACACACACACACACACACACACACACACACAAATACAAAGACTCTGAGGTATATTTAGTCAGGATCAGATTGATGCCCATGCCAGGGTGTGGTTATGCCAGCCTCCATTATGGCCCCAGCACTATAATCTCTTCACATTACAGCAATACTGAGCGACAGGACTCCAAACACACACTGACCATAGTGATGAAGACAGCATGTGTGAGATACAGATATGCTGAGGCGACTGCCAAACTAAGCTCAAACCTCTCCATGTCTGCGGCACTGCCAAGTCCGAGCACCCACCCCCACTTTCTCACTTTCTCCCTCCACACTGGCAGACTGGGTCTCTGCGCTGCGTTTCTGAGGACTGCTGAGCTGACGGTAACGTGGACGGATAGACGAACGTGCGAGTCTGTCAGCGCTCGTCAGAACGTCGCTGAAGTGAGAGTCCAGTAACTCCAACTCGACAGACTTGGTGGATAAACGTTTACAATTGGTATTGAATTATGCAGTAAGAGATAATTAACTCTACACATGATTTACAGCTTGGAAGTGTGTGGGGACTTGGTGAATTTGGTGTGACAGATTTGTTCATTGTCTCAAACAACAACAACAACAAAAAACCCTTACGTCTTGATACCCAATGTTATAAACGCACCATAACTTTACACAATCAAAGCATGAAGATGGTGACAGATTTGTAAAACTTGCAGGACAAATGTATGGAATTTATGTTCGTTAAAAGTGCAGCCCCTCACCCCACCCCCAACATACACGCACACACCCTCTCTTTCAGTACTTTGGACTGCGTCTGTGGATCCCCAGAACAAAAAAGCCTTTCACTGGAAACAGTCTCCTTTATTATATTGCACCTCACAGTTGGCACAGAGGAACCCGCAGCCGGCTTTTACCCCCTTTTCATTTTTACCCCCTCCTGTAAAAATTACCCCTATCACTGGCCTTGTTCTGTTTCACTCTGTGGAGCAGATCGTTCTGCAAAAGCTGTAATCAACGATAAAGAAGGATAAATAAAAAACATGATAAATTATTTCTAAAATGCATAAAAGTATAAATTAAATATGTTGTCAATACTCTAGGTGGCCCAGTTAGTAGAGCAGTTGACTCTCAGCAAGAAATTTGCTGGATTGAATACCAGACCTTTCTGAGTTTGCATGTTCTCTCCATGTATGCGTGGGGTTTCTCCATGTCCTCCAGTTTCTTCCCACAGATCAAAAACATGCATGTTAGGTTAATTAGTAACTCTAAATCGTCCCTGAGTGAGTGAGTGAATGGTTGTTTGTCTCTATGTGTCCATGTAATGGACTTGTGTCCTGTCCAGGGTGTACCCCGCCCCTCGCACTGTGACTGCTGGACATGGGAACCAGTGACCCCCACAACCTTGAAAGGAAGAAGTGGGTATAGATAATGGATGGATATGGACTTCCAAAAGGCATAAAAGTAGAACGGAAACATTTTTCAATACTCTAGATGTAGATCTCTACAGTCAAGAGAATATCTGTGATAATTAGGTGAAGACAATTTAAGGGCCATAAACCTGTATGGAGCTATTTCTCTGACAAACAGACTTAATGTGATAGAAATGTTATTTTTTAGGAAACTACCAACATTTTTTCTTCTCACCTCACTGTAGCCGAACACTTCTGTTTTACATTTGATTGCAAAAACACACAAAGTTTCCTGGTTTGTGATTTGAAGTTGCTGCTCAGAGAAACATAACGCTGTTGATTTTTTTGGGTAGTGGTCATACATTTAGTAATTTAAAGAGAAATACAGATTTCTGTGTTCAAAATATTAGTGGAAAAGTTAGACAACTTGCGACTATTACAGACCCATAAGAAATTTTATTTAAAAGCTAAAAAAGTATAATAGGCAAAACTCAAAATGTTATGATGAAGATTATTTATGAGTTCATTCTAAAGATCAGGTTATAATTTTGTGACTTTGCAGGAGTTTTGACACCAAGTGTTTGTGTGGTGTTGAACGGAGTGTCGTGATTTGTGGTGCAATGTGTCATCAGAATATGTCGGGACAATTTTAAAGGAGCAATGTCATGTAAAATCAACTTTTTTGAGTTTTATATCATGTTATAATGTTATACTCTCATAAAAAAACAAGCCCAAAGCCTTGCTTTGACTCATTCATCCATGTTTGAGATATCCTGCAGCGTTTTTAGGAAGCCATGCTGAGGAGCAA